AAATATATATATATATATATATATATATATATATATATATAAATATATATATATATATTTCTTTTTAACAATTCTTACCCTATCTCACTTTTAAACTCAGTCTTTAGTGGTATTCCTTTAAACCGAGATGTACCTGTAGCATATACTGTAATCAGGAGAGGCATATCTTACAAATGAAAACCATGACAGTTTAAGGATGTCTAGAAGAAGCGTGAAAATAAGTGAAAATAATTAAATTGCTAAGTCGTTGCTATTATCTCAGAAAAGGGGTAATTATTTTCTTCTCTAAAACATTGGCAGTAAAATTACAGGGTAAACCGTACTGTCTACAAAATGATTACATTTCAGGCTATTTTGCTTTATGATAAAAGGGACAGCTAAAGTGAGCAAACGCAGACTGTATTTTGTTGATTAAAAGGGGAACAAAAGGCTGTTTACGCACTTCTCAGTGTGGTCTGTTTGAGCTTGTGTCATTTTTATCCTTGCCTGCTTCCTTTTATGATTTGATATATAAAGGCAAATGCACAAAATCCATCTTTTTTTTTTACTTCAGAGAGCTGTCAGAAGAAAATTATTTTTATAATAAATCATATCAAAGAATATCAGTTCCATGACTTGTTCTCTGTTTCGCTTCCGTTTGACATCTATTCCTTTATGATACACCCACTTACTGATATCAGAAGATATTGCAGCATATCTTCTATAAGTTCTTTTTAGTATTTTTTAATGAGCTACAGCTTGCAAGGTACAACCATCTCTAGTTCATTTATGGTCAGAATGTGTTCCTTTTTGCCTCACAAGACACAGTCATTTAATCTAAGTTATTTTTCATTTTCTTTCTTCTTGCACTGGGGATGATGGTGCCGGTGGTTCCTTTTTGGTTCTTAGATCACATATTGGTTGCCACACACACAAAGCTAAAGTTGCCATGAATTAAAGGGCTTTGACATTAACACTCAGCTTCATCTTTACTAAAATTAACGTACAATCCAATGAATAAAAACCCTCTTAAGGAAATAAAAAATGTAACTATTAATTTTGTTGCCTGTTTTATTTATTATATATTAGGTTTTTCCTTCTAAAACCTTAGCAGATATATTTTTTCTGAAAGTATTATCTTCTACTCCAGTCTTAAAACCTGTCCAGTCTCTATTCGGTTGGCTTCTGGGATTGTATTTTATTCTATTTATTACAATGAATAAATAGATTCTGAAGGGCTGTTGGTTCATGCCTCCTGATGTTGGTCAGAGTGCCCGATGCCAGTGTCTGGAAGCCTCACTTCTGTCAGTGAGCCCCAGGGCAGCTGTGGCTACAATGTAGCCTGCCACCATCAGTGTATAAGTGAATGGGTGAATGATTGAATGTAGTGTAAAGTACTTTGGTCAAGCCTCCTGACTTGAAAAAGTGCTATATAAGTACAGGCAACTTACCAGTCATTTCTTGGTGTTAACACAGGTTCTTAGCCTCTTCTCTGATTAATTCCCATCTTTCCTGGGTGCTCAGTTAAAGTAGTCTCAGACTGTATTATATTGTCATTATTTACATATATTTTTTTCTTTTAAAATGAGGAATTAGCTTTATCTCTCACACATGTTGTGCTCTAGTGTTCCTTATAATTCTGTTTATCAATTAATGTCCTCAAACATGTTTTTCAAAATCTTCAATGAATATTTTAAAACTACGTACACAAAAATGTAAGATTTATGAAAAAATGTGTTGGCTTCTAAATGCAACAAAATGCACCAGAGTTTTAGATTAGGGGCATCGGAGTAAAGGGGAATAAATACTAATGCATATCCATCTTTTTATAATTATTTCTTTAGAAACTTTGCAAACAGAGGTTTTTGCAAAGGTCTATCACATACAACTGAAATAAAACTGAAGTCTGTGGTTATAACATGACATCATATAAAAAAAAAAGGTTAAGGGCACTGTAAATGCTTTTTTGCATGGGAAATTAACACAATAGATGATATTCCTTAAAAGTCCCACAAAATGAACATTTTATGTTGTAAGAGAATATTTATCTAAGACACAAATGTAGCCCCCTTGATCCCATATACAGTATATCCTGTGCTGTCTCTAGATGCACTCTTTAGCCTTCTTTGTGGGTAAAAACAGAGCATATCCAGGGTTGAATATAAGGTCAGTGTGCAATCTGAACTTTAATGATAATTAGACCAGTGATGTCCTTATTGATCCAATTCTACATTTGTCTGCAGTGGGGAGGATCTGAAAGCAAGTAAAAAAGGGTAGATGAGTGGAAATAAAAGTAGTGTTTAAGTATAAAATGTCTAAGGTTCTACTGAGGGATATTTTGTCCCTAAATCTGCGGTACCTCTCTGTGTCAAAGAAACTGGACCTTGTACTTTGAGTTAACAAATTTTTCCACAAAGCCTCTTTCTGTTTTTTTTTTTTGTTTTTTTTTGTTTTGTAATCAAAGTATGTGAAACAGAGTGGTAACCAGGCAAAAAGATAAATGAAAAGGGTTTTGCTTGCATTTTAATACCAGCAGAGTGATAGCTTGTGTCATTGTAAATGGTCCAATCACTGAATGATGCCGAAGGAAAACGAGTAAACTAAGGGGTGAATAGAATGGCAAAGAATGGCAACCAAGAGAAACTTTCAGAACTAAAGCACATGCATAGTCATGTTCCAGCTTGGTGATTATTTGTCTCATAGTAACAGGCTATTTCCCATGTGATACCTCACTACCACACCCCCAACCCCCTTCCTCCTCCCTCCCTGCTTTGTACCTTCAGGGAAGCTGGCGCAGAAAACTGGGGCACAGAAGGCTGCCAAACGCTTGCATCAAACACTGTCCACACCAAATGCCTCTGCAGCAAGATATCCACCTACGCCGTGTTAGCGCAGCAAGCTAAAGATCCGGTAAGTCACCGCTGCATAGTCTGATGCACACTTCCTAATTTTGAATGACGGTAACAAGGCCACTAGGGTTCAGGTCAGCCAGCCAACAAGTTTCAGTGTGATGGATTTAGAATTTGCAGATTTTCCAACAAGAAACGGGTTTTTATTGTTTTTTCGGGGACATTTGAGAGAGAGTATCTAGAATGTGTTGTGAAAGTATTTTTTGGAAGAAAGCTGTTTTAACATTACTGTCCTTTTTGAAATTCATACTCTTGCATGTGGCGCTATTATGATTTTAACTTTAAATGATGCAACATTTTATGCAACCTATTTTTGGTTGCAAACCTAAAGATCAGGTTCTTTAGTGAGTTATCCTCATGGGACAAGGGAGGAGAGACCTTAAACAAAAAGGATTTAAGACATTTGAATTTACCTGGATGTTAATTTTGAGTGCTGCATACAACTTGCACATCTATTAATACTTTTCAGTGACTAGAGGATAGTGCATGCTTCTTTTTTTGTGCACAAATGGACTTTTACATCCTTAAAAGCTCCATGATTGCCTTAACCACGTCACAAAGCATGTCATCAATTTACTAATACCGTCTGCTGCCATATTCTATTATAAAGCTCATGTTCTTATGTAGATATGCTTGGGAAACAGATTTTTATGGTATGTTAGCCCTGTATAGAAATATTATGTTATGTAGACAGAACTCATGTTTTTAACTAACGTCTATTACTTACTCCTATTGCTTTTATCTAAATCTACTACTTATTATTCCGGGAGCTGCTGAACTGACATGTCCTGTATAGTTTGCCTGAACTACTTTTTTAAACAGCATGCCTTGATAATTGTGGTAGATAGGACTTTTTTATTGACCAGAGCATGACTATTGTCGGTTTTGTTTCTGCTATTAAATATACATTTAGAGGGGCGGGAGTTGTTGCAAGGGTTAAAGGCACATCCCATATGCAGAGGTTTAGTCCTAAATACAGCAGTCACAGGTTCAAGTCCCGGCCTGGTGATCCCTGTTGCATGTCTTCTCCTTCTGTTTCCTGTGTGCATAGTTTTGAAAAATACAAAATAATACAAAGGTCACTAGATTCTAAAAAATAATAAAAAACAAAACATACTTTTCAAAGACAACAAACTTTTTCTTTGTTAATGATTTTTGAAAAATACTACCCTCTGAATTGCAACCCAGTTTGCTATCCAGCAGCTGGTTTATCTCAGAATTACTGGCAGGTTTTTTTTTTTAAATGCCACCAAATGTAAAAATATATATATATAAAAAACATTTTTACTGTCATATTCCTGTAATTTAGACCATTTTTGTTTACATTATTTGCTTCTTTGCTAACATTTAGAAGAAAAACATTTAATTATAAATGTAAATCTATAGCTTAATATTATATCTAACTGTATATGTTAAGTCTATTTCTGCAGCTGTGTATGAATGTTATAATCATATTTAAATCAAATATATAACCAAATCTACAGTATATTTTATATCTAAATAGATAACCTAATTCTCAATGTTAAAACGAACTCTTGAATGTAATTATATATTTAGATAAATAATTTAGATTTTTAATTTGATTTAATGTAAAGATTTAAGATATATAATAAAATTATATCTAATACCTAGATTTAGGAGAAACGAGAGGTATTTACATTTAAGACGTAGATTTAAGACTTAATTAAAATTAGAATTAAATACAGGATGTTGGAATAATTTAAGATTTGTATTTAACATTTGCAGCTAAATGTTAGAAAAAAAAAATAAAATAAATAAATGTTAGAAAAAAAAGACCTAAATGTAAAGAATCTGTTAAAAATAACAGATATCAATTAAAATTGCTTCACTATTTTTTTTTTTTCACATTTGGCAACATCTAAATTACCATGAAGTAGGATATTGTTATTTTTCAAATAACAAGAAAGAAATGATTTATGTGAAATCAAAAATTCAACACAGGCTTACTCTTAAGCAAAGTACCACATAGATGAAATTGTAATTCTTGCCTAATCTCTTATGTAGAATATTATAACAATATATTTATTGTTCAAGAAAAATGTGCTGAATAAAAACAGAAAATCAAGAATCTTGGTACAAATTTAAAACATTTGAGTTCAATTTTTACAGCAAATTCCTTGTGCACATTACCAAAGGCTAAACTTTCTTCACTTCTCTGGCTAAACCTGTTATAGTGAATTTACTCTGGTTAGTTCCTGTTGCAGATAAAAGATCAGCATTTCTTTGTACAATAAGTAATCAAGCACAGTTGTTTCCATGAACACATGTTGTCCACCTCACCCTGAATAAGCAGCTACCTAGTTAAGATATTACATTAAGCAAATATGGATTTCATTTCAGAGTTTAATGAACATACAGTAAGTAATTATAAGTTTATAAAATATTTAGGTCAACAATCAAGCAACTCCTTAATGGATTTATATGTAAAGATCAACTATTTAACAAACAAAATAATTTGCAACATGTTACTTTAAGAAAACACATGGCTGTTGCAAGTTTTTAATTGAAATCATCATCATTAACCAGTCACAATAAAATTAATGTTTAGTATATATTATTCCCCTTTCACATTTATAGCTTTCAAAATGTAAAACGCATTTATAACACTGGCACTCTATAGCATCTTATTATAGGTGCTTTAAAAGTAGAAATTATAAAGTATAAGATTTTAATCAGCTTTTAATATTAATTCTTAAAGCCATTGTATACCTTAATACCAGTCACCAGTACATCTCTTACTTTCTAAAAATGGTTCTTTAACTTTGACTTTGACTTTTCCTCTCTAATTCCTGCAGAGACTGTGTGGGGAAAAAAAGATCAGTGCAAGTAGATAAGATTTGGCATATCAGGGACTTTTCTTAGTGTTTGCAGATTTCTATTTCTTTAATGCCAGGCTTAAAATGAATTTAAAAAAAGGAGCCAGCAAGGCAGATGCTTTGTTACCACCTGAGGGTTATTCTTTGTGTCTCTGAAATAGGAAGTGAATGTGTCAAAGAGGGAATTTAGGGTGGAAGAACTCTTCATCATACTTAGCCGTATTGTAGGCAACAGACAGCCAATAGACACAAATAAAGAAAAAAATGGTTGCTTGATCTTGCAATGGTTATGCATTACCAGCCATTATTTTCAAGACTAGGATTATGTGTGCATAAGTTTGCTTTAAGGCAAGTCACTAAAACCTTATCTGTCTTCTGCCTGAGCTGCCGTTTGGAAGCTATATCCCTTGTAGCATCGTACTGGCACTGCACAGCTGGTTATTATAACAACGCTGCATTTATTAGCTCAATATTCACTCGTCAATCACCATTTTTTTAATAAAGTTTATGGCTAATGTCTACTGGCTTTAAATACAGAAGCTGACAGAAGCTATTCGGTTGGATAACTATGTTTCTTAATCAGAACCTTTTTTCTCTACAATTTTTGCATTCAGAAAAAATGGTCAATCAAATTGTTCTTTTATGGAAACCTGTGCATCGATTGATTTTTGTCTCCCTAATTGATCGGCAACTGATCAAAGCTGTAGCCTACAGCTGTAGCATGCTTGTTGTCCCAATTACAGGGTCTGTAATTAATTAATCACAATTAAACACTGGCTTATATTAATTTAATCAAAAAGAACATATGGACAAAATAAACAATGTCTTTTAGTTAAAAAACATGTTATTCCTAATTTGTTCAATAAATAAACATATAATGGCTGCAACATGCATGTTTATTGTTTGAAATCAATAATTCAGGTTATTCAACCATCAGGTTGGTTGAAAGTTGTAATCATTAAGCTTTTTTTATTAGAAATACTGATATTTTATGCAACTTTTAAAGACGACATATATAGAGTGTGAACTGTACATGAGCATTCATTATAACACAATTCTTTCCAGTGAAACAAGGAGAAGCAGCATTTAGTTCCTATGCTCCACTTATCTGGAACAAACTTCCAGAAAACTGTAAAGTGCGGAAAGCCTGAGTTCCTTTAAATAAAGACTAAAATCACATTTGTTTAGGATTACCTTTGACTCTTCTAGTTAAACAGTTCAACTGAAACATCATTATTTCATCTCTCTTATTTTATTTAGTCCAACTGTTTTTAATGTTCTTTTTTGTTTCTGCATTTATTTTATTTTATTTTATTTTATTTATTTATTTTTTCCGACTTGCTTTGATTCTGTTTTATTTTCCTATATTTTAATCATGTAAAGCACTTTGCATTGTCTTTGTACTAAAATGTGCTATACAAAAAAAATTGCCTTGCCTTTCCTTGCCTTGCCTTGAATGTTGAAAAAAAATATTTATCAACAAGACATAAAATACTGCCTTGAAATAATAAACTTTTGCAAATACAGAAGTTAAATTTAAAACTGATGACAAAACTATGATAGTTCAGCCATGAATAAAGCATTGCCTTTCAGAGCTTAACATTTGCTATTCAACATGCGACATTCAATCGATTTAAAACATATATACCACTGATGCTTCTTTTACTCCTCAAACCAATTACTAAAATAATAATCTATGTTGCAACCCACTTTACCAGGAATGATTTACTTTTTCAGATATGGTCTTACTATGTTGGCTCTAAAGCTAGTCGCTGAAATTAAAAGTTAAAAGACACTAAAGATTTGCTGGTCAGGTCGGCTGTTAGGGCTTGGTCTCTGCAGCTTAGGCTAACCCTCCGTCTGATCTATAAAATTTTGTTGTACTTACCCTGTAAGTATTATTACAAATAAAGCATATTTTATCATATAGAAAAAAAAGCAGTGCTAGCTGCAACATACATCCTGGTTCATTATTTCCTGCCTGACAGTGGCAGTAAACAAAGTGTATATAACTCCTTACATAAGCAAAGACATGTACACTGTTTTATAGATAACACCGTGGGAGCTATGTTCAGTCTCCTTGCTTCCTCACCCTGAGAAGTTACGATCAACCAGTCTGACTGGCAATCATCTAGGAATTCAGAGAACCAGTTACAGTGTAACT